CCCCAAAACCCCAAAACCCCAAAACCCCGTGATTCGAAAATAGTATAGCTGTAAGAGACGTGAATTTATTCGTGAAATTAAATTTTATATATTTGTGCAATAAATTATAATTATTCTACAACTTAAAGAGAGTGATAAAAACTAACACAAACATGAATCATCAGCATTAAGCGATAAAGAGGACTCAATCCTGTGCAAATAAGTAAGTCTTCTAGCTAGCTTCCCAATCACATACTAATTAAAATTTGAATAGAGAGATGCGAGGAAATAAACTTGTAACTGGTATAAATTTAATGCAGCCAGATCATGACGGCTATGAGAGAAAAGATAATGGTAATCAAGCCAATGATCAGCAAAATAATCAAAATCAAGAAATGCAAAATAGAGGATAATAAAACATAAATAAAACCCCGCACTAAAATTCTCACAGTAATAAATAAATAAATCTTGAACATTTTTAGGTGTGAGTAGAGATTTGCAAGCAATGGGTTTAATTACTTAAGTAAGACAAGGAGAAGACACTCCTACTGTTGTTGGTCTCAGTGGAAAGCCTTTGAATTACCAAGCCAATTACTCTCCTAATCATAACAAAAAGTAATCATAATTACTTGAAATATTCTAAAAAATAAATGCTTATACAATATATTAGTGATTTGGAATACGATATGAATATGTAAAGATAGAACAGCAGCAAACAGCCTGCTCTACTCAAGCCTTAAAGATCGGATGTTATTGGTAGAAAGACATTGGTCCTTGACTTAGATGAGACACTGGTACATTCCTCTTTTAAGGCGCCAAAGAAAGCTGATATTGTCTTGCCTGTTGATATCGAGGGAAGAACTTGCAAAGTATTTGTCCTTGTGAGGCCAGGCTGTTTGCAGTTCCTAAATGAAATGGCCAAATACTATGAAGTTGTTATTTTTACTGCATCTTTGTCTAAATATGCTGACCCCCTTATGGACATTCTGGATGAGTAGAATGTTGCTCCACAAAGGCTATTTAGAGAACACTGCACTTTTTAAAATGGTATCTTTGTAAAAGATATGGCTAAACTTGGCAGACCCATGAAAGATATCATCATTATTGACAATTCACCTCAAAGCTATTCCTTCCAACCAGAAAACGGCATGCCAATCTTATCTTGGTACGAGGAAAGAAACGATAACAAGCTTTTAGAATTGATTCCTGTTCTCATTTAATTATCTTAAGTCCCGGACGTCAGACCAGTTCTTTTAGAGTGCTGTTCCAAAGATAATGTGTACTAATGTGATAAATCCTTGAAGCTTTGCGACAGAATCATTCAGCAAGTTAAAGAAGAGCAAAGAGCATAACAATGGCAAGAATAATAATAATAGTAGCAGCAATAAAGACAGTTTAAAGCAACTCAACCTCAGGATTAAATAACTCAGTAATAATAGTAGTAGTAATCTCATTTCAGAACCCCTAAAACAGCTGCTAATACTAATGATCTGGAAAATACATAAGAAATTTGTAGAATTACTACAGAGGATGGAGCTGGAATAGATGATGATGTAAAAAAATTGAGAGGAATCAGCTAAACTGTTAACCAAAAGGTGCAAGAAAAGAATATTAAGATGTCTGATGTCAGATTAGCAAATTAATAAAAGGACTCAGTTAGAAAAAGCGCCATGGTCCTACCAATAGATTTAAATAATCAGGTAAAAGATGCGAGGAAGCATCCAATAATTAATTCTTGGGTAAACGGTACCGAAGATAGTGATAGAAAATCAGTAAAAAGAATTAATGAGCTACAAACTCCTCAGACAGTACAACTAATGCCTAAGTTTTCCTAAACTCCTCAAGTATCGACTCAGAAAGGCAAAGATCTTACAAATTAATAGTAAAGTTATCAATCAATGGGCTAAGCTCTAAAGAATGAGGCAAGAAAAGTAATCAATGGTGTTTATAAATCCTTATTCTAGAACTAAGATGAGGCAAAGATGACTTCTGATCAATCAAGCAGATAGAATTCCCAACCCCAAACCAAGAAAAGACCTAAAACTTCAAGTAAAGATAAAAATAAATTAGAGCAAAACAGTAGCAATCAAAAGATTAAAACCAATGGATCAAAGGAAAGAAACATTTCAAATACTGGAAATGGCACTGCGAATTCTAGTTCACAAAAAAATTTCTCTCCATTGTAAACTGAAAGTAGAAAGAAATAAGTTATGATTAATTCAACACAAATTAGCAACCTATAGCTTGACCTATCAAAGACAAACGGAATGTCATAAACACCTTAATATTCTAGTTCAAAAATCAATTCTATACCATAGAAAGGAACAAGTGCAAGAGCTGGCCATTCAAAGATAATGTCAAATGCTATCATAAGTGCATCCTAAAATTTGGCAGAGAAAGAGAGGAATAAAAATGCAACAACTCATAATTCTAGTAGAAATTCTGTAGAAAGACTAAGAGCAGAGAAGAAGAATGAGGAAATTACAGCAAGTAATTCCAGTACTAATGGCTTCTTAAATCATTTAAGAGCTCAATCTGCTAAAAAGAAGCAAGTATCTTAACCCAGAGATCAAGATATGACAGGAGTTTTCAACAATAACGTAACTCCTCAATCTAAGAATTTCACTGTGACTACATTCTTGAGTAACTATAATAAGAAAAGCAGCACAACATAGGACTCAAGTTAGCCATCTTAGAATTCTACTTCTAACTAGACTAAATTGATCCATCAGCTAGAAACTCCACCAAGCAAATCATAACATAGTCATTTGATGGGTAAAGTATCAACCTAATCACCCTCCATTATGAATAATAAAACTTACTCAAGTTCAAAAAAGACAAAGCAAATAACAACTTCACAAAGCTAAAAACGAGTGCCATCTAATGAAAGCGTAAAACGTAATCTAAACGATAATCTTAACACTCCAAACAGTGTAAGAACCAATAAAGAAGCAGGCAAGAGTCCAGGCAAGATATTTAACTTTGACAAGAATGCACAGTCCCCAACTTAACATAGTAATCAGCAATAGGTTGGAGGCAGCTTGAACAGTATAAGAGAAGAAGGATACTCTACTTTGCTTAAGAATGTGTCTTCTCAATAACAATTTAAATCTAGCAAGATAAATACCTCACAGACTAGAAAGCCTGAATCAGCTTAATCATCCATATCTTAGTCTCATAACTTGCAACAGTATGCCGATAAAAAAAGTAAATATTTAAATTTAATCTTTGGTTCAGTTCAAAACATGAAGGGAGTCAGAATAGTCAACAATAATAACAACTCGATGTCTAATAAGTTTTAAGTTTCAACTACGAGTAACAACATCATAAATGGGGCTAATCAATAGAACCAGTAAGATAAGGATGTGAGTGGCCAATACTCTTAAAGTGCTAAAAATGGGAAAATCTAAAATATTCTAAGTGACTATGAAAGAACCAAGAACTTTAACTAAGAACTTATGAAGAACATTGGTTCTCCAAAAGGTCCGATATTTGCAAGAGTAGGCGGAAATGTACCGAATATAAATCAGTAGCCTTAGTAACAACTTTCGTAATACTAGCAGTATGAAAATTGATTCTAAATTGGAGGAGCCATTAATGAATCAAGATAACATGTGCTTTATAAATTGTCATGATTTTCGCTTATTGTTTGAATGCTAAGTATAGTTGTTTATTTAGACTTTTAATTTTCAGATAAATTACTTTAAAACTAATAACTACCTATTTGAGGATTTAGGGGTTTTGGGGTTTTGGGGTTTTGGGGG